ATGGAAACAGTAATAAGCAGAGAAAAAATAATAATAGAACCAATTTTCCTTTCCACCGTTTTCTCGGCAACCAAACTAAGAAGTGAGACTGGGAGAGAGGTAGAGCTCAGAAACGCCGGGGGTTCATTTCTTGTCGATCGGTGGATGATTGAAGGCTTGCAGAAGTAGCTACGAGTAAATATTTATAAAATTTAACACGGAAACCGGCAGAGAGAGAGAGAGTAATTAAGTTCCATTTTTTTTGGATTTTGGTGTTTTCTTAATCGGCTGACGGATGAACAGATGACAATTTGGTTGCATTACTAATAATAGAAATGGATAATATATAAATAGTAACAAATAATTATAATGTCTTGGGCGCCGCAGAATTTTTTAAGATTATATTATCATTATTTCCTGTCATAAAAATATTCTTTATCAATTAATAATTACATTGAGTTTTTTAAAATTATTGACAGACCAGTAGTACATAACACATCATAAATAAAATACCAATTGAAATAAAAACCGTACCTTCGATTCAAATTGAGTATATTTATTATCATTTTTTAATAAATAAAAATATAAATTTTAATTTTATAATTGCAAAATTGAAGATATAAATAGAAATTTAATTATGCATCAAATGGATATAATATGAATAATTTTCGTATATCAAATAACTAACTTTTAACACTTAATGTAAATGGAATATGTTTAAACGAAATGCAAAATCTTTTATTTATTTACATTTGTTTAAACACCATTTCTCCCATTTTCACTTCCTTTTTTTTCAGCCTTCTTCCCAATGTACAACTGGGAGATGTTTCCACGAATTATTTCAGATTTGAAACACCAGTTTTTATCATCAAAGGCAACCTCAGGATCTATAGGAAGTATTCTCACAGTAAATACATGGATCGATTTCTTTACAACCGTCTCTTTGAAGAGGCAGCCAACCCGAGCTCCTTACACTGCTCTTCGTCTGGTTGCAAGCTCCTTGGAATTGCACCAAATAATCTTCTTGATGTCTCAAATCCTGAAGCCACATAATGCATGTATGCTGATGCATTTTCCAAATTCTTTCTCAGGTTCAACGAAGAAGATGCAAAGTTATCCGAAGGACTCTTTTCCTGTTTCCTTGCAAATGCTTGGTCCAGATCACTAGCCCTTAGAAATCGCTCTGTGGCGGATTCCCATGAGAGCTCATGCCTCTGGGCATCACTCAGTTGAGCCGGCAATTCATTGAGTGCCGTGAGTGTGGCTCTAACGAATCCATTCCCATCATTGTATGTTCGACAATTTGGGAACTGCTTGAAGAAGTCATTTGAGGGATGGTTGGCACATACGACGATTTTACCCATTGCCAATGCTTCCGCAGTTGTAGTGCAAACCACATCTGTAGTGCTAGGATTCAGGAACACTTTATAACTGAAATATGCAAAAAAGGAGAATGATTTGATTTGAAATCTAAGGGCTTAGCAAAGTTCAAGGAATCCAGAAAGACTTGTCAACAAATAAGCCAATCTTTTACCGTACTGTCCAATTCGAGCAGAATATCAATAAAGAGGCACACTTTTGTTAGAAGAGAACCAGCTAAAGTGTATGCAGTATGCCTGAACAATACTAAAGGTATCATCTCACAGAGAGGCATATCCACCACGCCTTTTACCCGTCCATAAATTATTAAATGATGGATAAGAGCTCATTAGATGAAAATAGTTTCTAGTTTTTTATTTTCTCAAGTTTATATCTAGTTTATAAATAAAATCTGAAAGTAATTAACAATGAGAACCATGACAACTATAATGATTTTAAGTCTGAAAATTTTAAAATGTTACTTTCATTTATACTTGATTACTTCATAAACATATCATTTATATATATTTTCACGAACAAATATATGCATAAGCACATTCAGATATAAGAACTGAAAACTACATTAAGTTTCATGTACCAAATAATTCCTAGTGTTGCAGGTACTAATATCTAGCAGTTCCTATAATTATTTCATAAATAGTGGTCAAGGAATCCTAGCACATCCTCTTCTACCTAAACCCCAAATCCTCACCCCTCAAGAAGTAAAAAAAAAATTCAAACTAGTGCATGGTGTGGTTCAGTGAAACTTTCACTCAATATTCATTCTTGCTAAAATCAACAATCAAGATTATGTCACAAAGTCTTGCTGGGGAAAATTAATATCATAAGAATATATAGATTGTAGTATGGTGCTTACTCATGGAATATAGGGTCAGCATGATCTCTACCAGGGTAAACTCTAACCACGATTTCCAACTTTTTAGCAGCCTCCTTAACTTGATCTGAGTCCTCCCCAGTACCATATAAATCCACCTCAAGCCAACCTAGGTCCTTTTGGTGATCACGAAAAAGTTTAAGAAGCTCTTTGTAGCCTTTGCTCCACACCATTTTCCCAATGTAGTACGCACCTTTAGTGAACGGTTGGCTCCCCTGTTTTTGTTGTTCTAACTTTTTCTCACCAATCTCAAGAAACCTAGGATTGACTCCATGAACATTACAGATAATTGATCTAGGATAATCCTGGGTGGCAGCAGATAAC